TGCCTTTCTTGTGAAGCCTTGCTGGTTCCCAGAAGCTATCTCACTGAGATGGTTCTCCACTACTGGGTCACATCAGCCACAGGGGTCCTGTTTCACCTGACAGGGACCAAAGCCCCAAACTTAGCCCCCACACAGAGGTGCAAGGAGCAGGGGATTATTATAATCACTCGCTGAAAAAGCATCCAGAGAGTCAGCAAAGCAATTCAGACAACTGCAAGGTTCAAAGAAAACAAAGCAGCAAAACAGCCAAATAATTGCAAAAAGAGTCATTTAAAACAACTGGTTCACTCGAAACTAGCTCAAACCAGTTACTACTAACAGCCACCCCCGGACGACCATGAGCTCCCAGCCAACAGATGGCTCCTGGTCAGCCCAGAGTTGGTGCACAATGAATTGGTAAACCAACAAACCTGGTAGAGAAGGACAGATTTAGGGAGCCATGGCCTTACATTACATTCAATGCTGGTTTCTGGGGGGGGGGGAACCCTGTTGGCTCCCTAGAGCTATCCAGGCTGAATGGATATGCATAACTTTCTGACATCAGTCAATGTGCACGGAGTTCTTGCCTACCAGGGACCATGAGCCAGAACCTGGCCCCCCTCAAGAGAGGAACGAGGAGCAATGGCCTATAGAAACCCCCCCCCCCCCGTGTGGTTGGGAGGAGTCACCTTCTAAGACCCTCCTGGTAGAGGCAATCCTTCATGTGATGCGGGACACTGTCTTGACCATCAACAATAGGGTATATAGGCAGCTCAAAGGAACAGTGATTGGGGCTTCAAGCAGCGTTGCCAGAGCTGAAATCTTTGTACACCAAGTTTTTTAGTACAATGGGTGAGTAGTCCTTACAATCCCCCGATCTACTTCAGGTATATAGATGATGTTTTTGGCGTCATGTTAGGTCCTCTCCAGACCTTAGATGCCTTCCACATCTGGGCCAACTCAGTGCACCCTAACCTACGCTTCACAATAGAAAGGGACGAGGTCAAGATTAATTTCTTGGATACGACAGTCTCCATAGACCCAGTTAACAGACTACTCAACAAAAAAGCTTACTACAAGCCGACAAATCTCCATACGTACCTTAGGTATGACTCGAGCCACCCGGCACCCCTCAAGAACTCCCTCCCCTTCTCCCTGGGCCTCAGGCTAAAAAGAATCATTAGCAGTGATGGAGTACTACAGACCCAACTACAAAACCTCTGGGATATGTTCAGAAACTGAGGATACCCGGAGGTGGCCCTCCAATGCGCTGCGACTGCCCGACAGGAACGCACCTGCGAGCAACTCCTCCATCCAACAAGACGTGCTCTTCAAGACAGAGGCATCCTACCTGCAATGTTCTTTGAGGGTCTAGCAGGTCCCCTGAAACTAGCACTTCACAACCTTTGGTCATGGCTAAGAGAAACATTTAGCAACCACCCATCATGGCACAGGTTCACACAAGAACCGCCCATGATGTCCTGGAAGCGCAGCAAGTCCCTAAAGGACCGCCTGGTCTTGACGGCACTTAAATGAGAACAACACATCCCTCCCGCACCGAGAAGGGATCTGTGATCTTCGCTCATTAGGGCAAATGGACGTTTCTGGGTATTCCTAACATATAGTGCTGGTCTGAGTGACAGCCACTGAGAACGGCTTAATGAGTAGCGGGCATCTTCCGTGGAGCTGGGGATAGTGGCTAAAGTGTCCCCAAGCCTTCCCTCCCTCTCATAACTCCCCGCTTCCTACCTGGGCAAAATGGACGCAACACAGACATAGGTCCCATGGTTGAGTGAGGCCCTGCAACTCAAAGAAACCAACTCGAAGACTCGAGGAGAGGATCGAACCATCCACGTAACGGATCAGACCGATCTGCTGAAAGAGGTAGAGCCGCGAGAAAAGCCTCGGGTTTGGACATCGAGCAAGCAGAGCCTAAACCAAGGCTGAGCTGGTCACCAAGGAGCCAAGTGGAATACTCTCCCTGGTAAGTCTCCAAGCGAGCCAGGACGTGGAGCAACAGCAGAACCGGGGGCAAAGAGGTACAGGTAACCCCACCTCGACCAGTCCAGCCGCAAGGCATCAACCCCTGACGTCCTCGCAGTCAGGAAAGGGAGCCATGTATAATGGGAGATGCCTCGAACATACCGACATGAAGAGGTCCACCTATGGGAGCCCGTACGTCTGGCAAAGCCAACTCAATGAGTTGGCGTCGACTGTCTATTCCGAGGACAGGGGAATGAACCGTGACAGACCATCTGCCAGGACGTTGGAAACCCCCAGAAACCCCCGAAAGTGAACGGAGCTACTTTTTGGCCAGGAAAGCCAAACCCCGAGAACTCAGCAGACGAGTCACTCGAAGTGACAATCCCCAAAGAGCCAAAGACTGTATCGAACCCCCATGGTTCAGGCAATGAACCACTGGGGAGCAGTCCGAATGGGGCCAGATCGTCAATCTGAGAGCGACCCAAACCCTCTGTAGCGACATCCACACAGCCACAAACTCTGGCACCGTGCTGTGTGCCCTATAGAAGGACGGACTCCACCGTTCCTGGCTGGCCTGGTGAGCACAGAACACAAAGCCCCAGCCAAGAGACATGCATCCGTGAACACATCGAGCGAAGGCTCAGGAAGACGCCAAGGCACCGAACCCCGAAAAAGGAAGCCGGCGACGCAGCAACCGACACAAGGTCCCCGGAGGACAAACCCAACGATCACGAGAGAGGCAGAAGGGGCGCCCCGAAGGAACCAAAACAGACGCCGAAGCCAAACCCGACCTGACGGGTAGACCAGCACGGTGAAGTTCGGACTCCCGCACAACCACTCAAGCTACCACTGAGTGACCCAGGACCCCCTCAGAAACAGCTGATGCTGAGACCACAGCCGCAGCAAGGCCTCTGGAGGAAGAGACGAGGAAGCGGTGCGAGAATCCCAAACAAGACCCGGCCAGGTCCGAATCTGGGATGGAACCAGATAGGACTTCCTCCAGTTCACCAGGAACCTGAATCTGGCGAGCTGGGAAAGAACCATATCCCTGGCGAGCAGACAAGCTGACAGACTGGGAGCCCACACCAGCCAGTCGTTGAGGTAGGCCAAAACTCGAATCCGTAGCAGACGCAGACGAGTTACCACAACCCAGGTAAGACACATGAAAACACGAAGTGCCAGATTCAAGCCAAAAGGGAGGCAAAGAAAGCGGTAAGCCTGACGCCCCACCACAAAACCTAACCAGTCCCCTGAACCCCGGATGAATAGGAACATGCTAATAAGTGTCCTTGAGGTCCAGGGACACCATCCAGGCACCTGGCTCCAACAGAAGCCGGACCTGAGACAGAGTAGTCATCTGAAAGGAGGGGCAAGGAATCCAGGGGTTCAGACAGGACAAGTCCAGAATGAACCTCACATCCACACAGTCTCATTTCAGCACTGGAAACAGGCGGGAAACCCACCTGAGGGACGGGGTCGTTTCGACCACGCCCAAGCACACCCACTCCAAGATGACTTGAAGCGCAGGAGAAGAAGCCTGCCCTGCTAGCCCCAAATCCACAGAAGGAGGACGAGCCGCCCAATGCCACCGCAGGCCGGATGACATGACTGAAAAAGCCCACAAATTGTGGGACCAAGCGTGGGCAAACAGAGCGAGCCTCCCCCCCCCCCATCGCACCGTCAACGGGGCAAACCGCGAAAGGGCCTTACGAGAAACCAAACGCCAAACAGTGCGATCACCGCGCCGCCCTGACGACGCCAGCACCGAAGGCAACCTCGGCTCAAAAACTGGCACCAATGACCCACCTCAACCAGCGGAACCCTGGACCCTGGCAGGACCCCTCCCAGACGACCGAGAACAACCGCCCCGGAGAACCAACAAGTCCGACATAGGACAACAACTAGACAAAGCCTCTTGCAGAAACTGCGAGACCGCAGCCTCTGCAAACAGCAACAGACAAAACGGAGATGAAAACCTAAGAGTCAGGGCCCAAGTGGATTCCAAAACGAGGGCGAGCACAACTTGATGGCACGCAAGGCAAGACGCAAAAAACAGAGACACCGCCTCCTTCAGGATAGGCGCAAAGAGCTTCAACAGTGCAGTGCCTAGCTACCGAAGTCAGCCTCCACATCCTCCTTAAGCCAGGTAGAAGACAGCTCGAGAAGGGAAAGAAATGTAAGACCGAAGCCAAATGCCCACGCGCGCAAATCCTCTGCAACCAACGATGCTGAAAGAAAAGAAACCTGCAAGTGAAGCTGGAAAAGGCCAACATCCCGAGAAAGCACAGGGGCAAACAAGCACGCATTAAGGTGCTAAAACTCGCTCCCCAGGTAAACCTGCAGAACTGTAGAAGTTTCACGCCAATCAAGCATGCGGGTCCGACAGAACAGATGCCATGCCCCCAACGAAAAGAATGGGCAGTCTGCCAGCCAGGAAGACTCCGGAACCTCCAAACACACCGAAAAGCGGGAAGAAGAACCGAACTTAAAAGAGGACGGATCATCACAAAGACATAAACCGGGTCTCGCAAGAGGTGTGCAGCAAGAGCCTCCCGAGCCTCCTTCGCAAAGATACGAGAAGTAGAAAACCTTTGGAAGGATGAAGCCGAGGTACCCAAAGGGGCTCCGGAACCAAACCCGGGGAGGAGCCGAACCCAAATCACACTCATACAGGGAAGAGGGGTAAGAAAACCTCTCCTTCCCCTGCAACAATAAGCCCCGCGAGGAAGGCAAAAGCACCCAAGTGGGATCAAAGGGGGTCAAAGGCCCCCAGGTCAACTCCTCTCCAGCCCCGAGATCCCCCAAGTTGGGACCCAGGGCAGAGCCGTCCTCCAAACCCTCTGCCCCTGAAGAAAAGACAGAGTCCAGGGCAGAGTATGCTACCACTGCACCATGGGGACTGCTTTCCAAAATCTCTACTGAAATCTCTAAAATTAAAATCTCTACTGAAATCTCTAAAATTAAGATCTCTACTACTATTTTACAGTTACAGTATATCTAAATTTCAACATTATTAACACTATTGCATTTATACATACCTGTAAGTCACTGTTTTGGCAAGGTGCAAGGATGAGAGCTGTGCCAGGTCGAGGCTCAGGCAAAGAAAGACACAGTTCACTGTGCTTAATCAATTTGTCACGAGTCACTGACCACTCCTGAAATTAACAAATATGGCTAATCTAATACAGTATTAAAATTATTCTCCATTAACACAATATACTATAAATCTTAAGATGAGAAAAATGGAAGGCAACCATTAAATCCATTAAAGCATTTAATGAATTAATTTTTGTCAGTGTTTGTTGTGTGCAGCTTGGTGCTCACATGGAAGTCCCAGAGTTGGCTATTGTAGGTATCATAATATAGAGCTACAGTACAACAGTGCAGCTAGGTAGAAGTAGCCACAGAGCCCCCTTCTCACCCAGAAAGAGGGGCTTCATGACATTTAATGCTGGAATTTTGCATGGTGTGTTTGTATACATTTAGTTTGACTCTGGGAATATCAAGGAAATATTTATTTCTGGTGTAATGTTCAAGAGTTATTATATCCATCTAGGAAACGTTTCAAAGCAGATTAGTATTGAAGAAAAAGGCTTTGTAAGTATAAATAGTATAAATAGCACAAGAGAATTCATGGAGTGAGTGAATATTTAGCATGTTTTGGTTGCTCTTAGAATGCCAATGTTTATGCCTGTTTAATATTTTGTCTATTTAATACTATATTTAAGCATAGTATTTTTCAAATACTATGTTTAAATATAATATTTATATTCAAACATAATATTTGAAGAAAGGAGAGGCTACTGTGGCTATTTCTTAAGTGTGATGGGGCTAGATTTCTTTTTCTTACAATACTCTTAAATTGTCTCTGCAAAAATACTCCCGTTGACCATGAAAAAGTATAATAATGACCAAAAAAGTAATAATTTTAATGATATGCATGCTACAGGATTAAAAATGATGGAAATCTTCAACATACCTGGTTCCCTCCAGTGCCATGGCAAGCATAAAGGCCTATCGTTCCTTCTGCACGGTGACCCAATGTGTCCATACACTTGAGACCTTGCTTGAATACCCCAAAAGATGCATGTCCTATGTCAGGAATCTTCAGTTCTGGATACACATTATCCATGTACCATTTAAAGTTTTTGCAGTTTAGCTTCTTACGTAACTCTAGCCGGCTTTGAATACTGAAAATTAAAAAAACGAGCATTGAATGTAATGAAACGCCATTTTCTGGCAGAGCCCCACAGACTCCCTGGAGCGATCGGACTGATATTAGCTATATTAGTCTGAGGCTTCAGTCACAAGGAGTTCTGCCTACCAGAAACTACAAGCCAGAACCTGGCTCCCTCAGAGAGGTGCAGGGAGCACTGGCTTATGGCAAACTCCACTCTTTGAGAGTATATTCCTGTCTGCCATCAACCAGGGTTAGGCACCCAGAAAGGTAGGCACCCCAAAACAGACCCCAACTGGTAGAAAATTGCAACCCAAGACTGAATAGAGCCCAAGAACTCCCTCCAAGAAAAACAAGGTAACAAGGAAATCGTCATCAAACCGACGCACTCGTCATCAAACCGACGCACTTGTCATCAAACCGACGAGTGGGGATGGTGTTTGCCTCACCCACCCGAGCCGGCTGCGCACTTACAAGTACGGAGACTCAGCAAACGAAACAAAAATCGCCAACCGGAGGAAGGAAAGGTGCCAGGAAGCCTCTGGGGCTCACCCAGATCATGGCATTTCATTACATTCAAACCTGGTTTTCTGTGGGGAGCCCTGTCGGCTCCCAGGCACTAGATACCCAAAGATAAGTATAGGCGAGCTTACCCAGGAGGCGGCAGCACTGTGTGCCTCATGATGATGGGACAACTGGCTGCAACCGACACCCTAAGCCCACACAAGTCCCCCAAGGGCCCAGAACATTCACAAGATAATGGGCAGCCAGAACCCTGTTCGACTCCAAAATCCTCATGCCCAAATGTCAGCCCAAAACGTGTTCCCAAAGACAGCAGCAAGAGCCGCAAACTTCTGAACATCAAGGGTAGACTGCAGGCTGGCTAGACTTGATAACTCTGTGGATGACCTGAGAGACCCAAGACCTGGAACAGGGAACGAGGAAATCGGATTAACCCAAAGCACATCCCCAGACACAGAAGCCAAGGTGCACAGGTAACGGTGGAGAGCTGCAACCGGACACAAAACATGAAGCATCCCCTGCCTGACCAACCAAGCATCAATAACCCACGGACCCCTCCGGAAGCCCGCCGTCTCATTCTTTGGCAGAAAAGAAAGAGATGGTTGCAAACAAACAAAATGTCCACCAGGACCGAAAGAGTAGACACCCATGTGTCGAAGGAGAGCATGAAGCCCACCGAGATGACTCCCAGAGGCCAAAGCCAACAGAAACAAAGCCTTCTGAAAACAATTTTGGATCAAAGGAGCCACAGCAAACCGAGAAGAGAGAAAAGAGAGCACCCGGTCCAAAGACCAGGATGGCTCAGGCGGCACATGAGCAGGGCGGAGGGGACAACGTACAGGACATCGAAGACAGAAGGCTTGGTAGCCGGAAGAGCATACAGGACACGGTTACTGGGCCCAAAACCAGTGCCCCAAAGAAAACTTCCCCTGAACCACAGTCAGGAAACACAAGACCATGAGACAAAAGCATCACCCAAAAGTCCCCAGGGAAAACAAACAGGGTAGGACCCCACGAAGAGAGAACAAGACAAACTCAAGCAGCAGCTCCAGTGCAACCAAGGACAGACCCAAGAACACACAGCAGAAGTGGCATCCTGAGGAATGGACTGGAAAGCAAACAAAACGTACCATAGGGGAGAAAATCCCAAAATCCCAAACTTCCAGAGGAAGAGAAAATGAAAGACATATGTGCCATTGTAGACCAGACAGTGTAGGGAACAGGGACGACTCAAGACGAGCAGAACCCCACGAAGGGACATCAGGGGTAATGGAGCACCAACAGGAGCCCCAGAACCAAAAGAGAACTCGCCCATGGGTAGAGGAGGAAGGAAAGGGAATGCAGGAGGAGGCAGAGCTGAGGTGAAGGCGAGAGCAGAGGTGGAGGCGAGAGCAGAGGTGGAGGTAAAACAGATGATCGTCACCCTGAGACAAGGGAAATGAACAACCATCAAACTCGCACAAGGCAAGATGGGACTCGGAAGACGTATCCATAGTCACCCAAGCCCTGATGGGGGTTTCCAGAGCCCGCAAGTGGAGGTGTCTATGGGAAGCCCGTGGAACTGGTGCTGCAAAGCCGATTGACCCTGTCTATTTACCAGGCAAACTGACCCCTGCGAAGGGAGCAACCTCGGGGGCCGAGTGGAGGGGAGAGGGAGTGGGGCCAAACGAAGCCTAGGCATATCTAATGGGAAGCCAGGCAGCCCTCCACCAAGCAGAAAAGAATGTGAAAAGATATGAAAATAAAACCCCAAAAATGCACCACAACAACAGAGAGGGCCAGAGAGAGATATGGCCTACTGGGAAGCCAGGCAGCCCTCCACCAAGCAGAAAAAAACATGAAAAGGAATTAAAATAAAACCCCGAAAGTACACCACAATAACAGGGGGGCCAGAGAGAGACACGGCCGCTGCTAGATTGCGAGCTGTGCAACATCGTGTGCCCAAACCAGCTACAAACACTCCCTACCCAGGGCCAAACAAAAGCACCAAAACCCCCACTGACCTCAAGGAAGAGGCCAATGCCAATGACAGCAACCCCTACAGCAGTGAGAACCCTAAAGCCCCAGGAAGAAAACCCTGAGATGCAAGGTAAGTATTTACAGGGTGCCTAGGGAAGACAATCCTCAGTACATGCAGCCCAAGGTACCGCTTACTCTTGCCCAATGCCCCAACAGACAGCAGGCACAACCACGAGGTTAAAATCTTGACAGGAAATAGAGGCCAGAGGAGACATCAGCCCCAGCCGGCTTCAGTCCAAGGTTGCCCGCACCGGAGGGGGGGCAAACAAGTGGCGCGTCTATTTGATGACAATTTGCTTGTTACCTTGTGTTCTTGGGGGGAGTTCTTGGGCTCTGTTCAGTTTTGGGTTGCAATTTTCTACCAGTTGGGGTCTGTTTTGGCACCTACCTTTCTGGGTGCCAAACCCTGGTTGATGGCAGACATGAATATACTCTCAAAAGTGGCATTTTCATAGGCCATTGCTCCCTGCACCTCCCTAAGGGAGCCAGGTTTTGGCTCGTGGTTCCCAGTAGGCAGAACTCCATGTGACTGAAGCCCCTGACAAATATAGCTAATATCAGTACGATAGCTCCAGGGAGCCAACGGGGCTTCCCCCACAGAAAAGAATATTTTCTCAGGAAGCTTTACAAATAAAGTAGGTTAATAAAACATTTAAATATTTTCTCTGAATTTCCAAGAGAAAACAATATTAATACAGTGTAAAATATTTATAAAGAAACAATAAAGATTATCAGTAATGACCCACACATTTTTCATTTTCTCATGCAAAGAAAAAGAACAAATGCTTTTGCTTCTTTTTCTTTTTTTTTTTAAATTTTTCTAATGCAAACAGAGTGGTACCTTGAAGTGGTACCTTATCAAAAGCTTTTGCAAAAGCCCATGTCAGTACTATATCTACTGGGAGTCCTTTGTCTGAATAGCTGGTTACAGTTTCCAAAAATGTGTGAGGTTTGTAAGGCTGGATCTATTTTTAACAAAGCCACGTTGTGTTAGTTTTACTAGATTGTTCACTGAGATGGTGAATGATTCCTTCTTTTTGGATTCTTTGTTTCCATGAGCTTGCAGATGTGTGAAGTCAAGCTGATAAGATGGTAGTTTTCTTCTGAACTCTTTCTGCCTTTTTTTTAAAATAGGGGTTACATTTGCATCTTTCCAATCTAGGGGAACTATCCCTTGATCCAGAGATGTTCTGAAAAGGAGCTTCAGTGGTAGGCATAGTTCATCTGCCAGTTCCTTTAGTGGGAGTTAGACAACTGTTGTGGGCTTAATCCTGGGGAAGGTCAGAAAGCCTAATAGGTTTCTTGTCCCCTAACTATGGGAAACCCCCTAAGGTGAATCACACAATTCCTTAATTAATTAACACATGACTGACATTCACCAATGTTTTATGGAAGACAAATCAGGTTCGGTATAGAGTACCCAACTGCCAAGTTGTGATATATTACAACTTGGCAGTTGTGATATACAGAGATTTCAAATGCAGTACAATAACTAGGCAAGTGATATTTAATATTTGAATGGACACAGTTTAAAAGTAAATTTCAAGACTGATGTACTTAACTAGTTGTACTTGCAAGAGATAAGCTTCAGTTCTTTGGTCCTGCATTATTTGGTTCTGTAGTGATCTTAGACCCCCAAGCATTCATTTGCCTCTTTGAGAGGTCAAAAATTCTGAACCGACTTGTGGAAGGTGAGCAAGATGTGTTAGAGTCAGATGTGGTACACAAAGCTTGCATGCTATCAAGACCATAGCTTTTAGAGCTACTGAGGAAGGCCCTCCCCAATTTTTGTTTTATTATTATACCATGTGAAAGACTCATCTGTCTTGACATATCTTTTTTTTTTATATAATGTATACAAGAGTTCTTACATTTTTGTACAACCACTAGCACACATAGCATTTCGGGCAGGTCCTTAATCCTATTCTTTTCCCCAGAATACGACCCGCCAGATCCTTTAACACTTTCGCGCTTTCGATTAGAGATAACTCGTCACTGGTTTTTCTTACGATTCCGCATAACTGCCTACTTTTCTCGTCAATTGAAAAAATATTTCTATAAATTCCATTTTTTAACCGAAATGGATGGGGATACTTTTGTTTTGTAGAGAATTTATTTGCGAATTTTTTGGTACCAGAATGAATATTATATCACATAAACTTCTATGAGTAAAAAAAAAAATACACAAAGTATGTTTGGGGGTGTGGCGAGCGTGTGGCAGTGGGTTCCCTTTAGCCGTTGATATATCCAACACGTGGGAAATATTTGTATGTGTTATGTATATGTCTGTGTAGGGAATTTTACTGCGATCACTGTCATACAAATTATAAAATGTTTCAACAAGTATAAACATGACAAACATCAAACGAACGAAAACAATGCGTTCGTTTCTGCCGCGAACGCATACTGAGCGACGTGGTTCTATATTTGGCGCTTCTCTTACACATGCTTTGTACAAATGTTATACAGTTCATCTTATAGAAAATTTTATTGCGAACACATTGGTATAAAAAAGAAATACGTACATAGAAAAGTAGGGTCAGGAAACGTATAAATTTTCCAAGCATGATTTCCCCCCTGTGTTTTCGCCAGTGCGCTCGCGGCTAACTACTCTCCACTTCACACACTCTTGCGGGTGGGCAATTACCTATATTAAACATTCATATGCATATGTCCGTGTAGAGAATTTTATTGCGATTCCAATGATACCAAAATTAGCGATGTAGGACAACTGTAGGCTTCGCAACCATTAAGAGAGTGGAAACATTTTGTTGCTGTTTGGCGCTCTCGGCGAGTGATCTGCATAGTTTTTTATTTGGTGTTGATACTCCTTATGCTTGGGCGGCATTTTATAGGTATGCTCTTATAGACAATTTTATTGCGAACACAGTAACACCAAATTTAAATACGTGCGCCTTCAATTATTGTCAGGACAGTCAAAAGAGTGTACACTTTTTCGGTCTTACCGCGTAGGCGCGCGAAGTGCCGAAAGCATATGGGGTATTGTTTTTTTTTGAGCGCCGAGAGCGCGAAAGTGTTAACAACCAGGTACCCATTCACTGCTGGGTGAACAGAGGCTACAGTTGAGGATTGGCACCTGGTCAATCCTCCCTGGCCAGGATACGAACCCAGGCTAAAGCTCTCGCGAAGCGCCAGGTGAGTGCTTTATCACTACGCTATGGGGACTGCATATACAGCAGGTTATCTGCTGTACAAGTCAAATACTAATTTATTATAATCTATGTAGGTCAATATTTGACTTATAAGTAGTGTGGGTTGGAGGATGGGTTATATATAGCCCCATAGTGATTTTTTTAAAGATTCTATGGTACTTTTCATATTTAAATTTTAACCAATTTTTTTTAAATACCATGCTTTGCAAATTGTAAAAGCTATATGCATTTTGGTTTCTATGGGCAGATAGGGCTAAGGGCTCCATTCAATGAATGTGGAAAAATGTGGTGATGATGCTGATGATATTGTAGCACTGCTCACCATACAGCTAACATGCATAACATTACTAGCGTGTGTACCAGCATATAGCATTTGGTTGTTACAAATTATAATAAAACTAAAACATAATATGATTATTTGAAAAGTCTGAGTAGCCTACAGTACTTACTTTCCATAATTGACACTCTTCGCTAGTGGCACAGCAGAATAGTAATATTTCTTATACTCGTCCATCCAGACTTCTGCTGCCCTTCGAGTGTTACGAGCAAATACGTTTCCGGACCCTCCTGGGAAGGTGTATGGGTGCTGCTTACGGAAAACATGCCCCACTCGCGAACATGGAACAATTTCTAGGCTTCCCCCACACTGCCACACTCGGAATGATATCTCTGAGGATAGTGATTCATAAGATTAAAAATATACTATTCTTAACATAATATATACATGATAGGATAATTATTTCATCCCTAAGCTGAAAATCTTCAGTTGAATTTTGGTTCTGTGTTAAAATATACTAGATACTGTTTCATGTACAGTATTGTACAGAAGTAAGATCAGCTGTTTAAACTTTTGCTCTTTGCTTTTCTTGGGTCTAAATGGAGTTAAAAAGTAAATTTAAAATTTCCATTATATTTTTGCATTTACAGTAAGCAGGTGACCTGTTTTTTGAAGTGATAACACTAAAAATGTTTACAAACAAATTTGATTATGAAATAAATATAAATACAGTAATAAACAAATTAATTTTTTAGTCTTAATTTCGTAATAGAAAATATGGGTCAAAAAATAAATTTTCTATTTATTTCTAGTAAAAATTTTCAGTCCTTTCTCAATTTTCCTTATTTCTAATTAGAAAAATGGTGCATTCTCTCCATGTATACAATCATAAATATATCATCATCAATATAAAAAAATAAGTACATTCATTAAATTAATTAGGAAATTTTCTGACTATTATTTTCTCATATTTTCACATTTCTAATAAATTAAAAGAATACTCTATTTGTATTTAGCATTAATCATTACAGTACTTTATACCACTCATAATGATGACTGAGCCTTTAACAGGAACAGGAACAACAACAACAACTTACTACTACTTTACTTACTTACTTACCTACTACTACTACTACTACTACTACTAATAATAATAATAATAATAATAATAATAAAATATTTTATTTGTAAAACATTACAGAGAACATGATTATAGTGATTTCATAGTAGATTTTAATTCTTTATAAAGCCCCTTAATGTGCAGAATGCTTAAAAAATTACTTGAGATTAATGTGAGGCCCTAAATTACAGTTCAATATTTTTGAATTAATACTATTAATATATTAATACTAATACCTAATACTATGAGACGTAAAAAAAACAGCGTTGAAAGTAATGAAACGCCATTTTCTGGGTGAGTCCCGGAGGCTCCCCGGAGCTATCCATGGCTGATATGGATATCCTAACTATTTTGCATCAGTCGATATGTGTGGAGTTCTAGGCCTACCGGGGACCACGAGCCAGAACCTGGCCCCCTCAGAGAGGCACGGGGAGCAATGGCCCATGGAAATGCACATGTGATTTGGAGCATTCTATATCTGCCATCGACTGGGACAGGCACCCAGAAAGGTAAGCGCCACAAAACAAACCCCTATTCTGGTTAACAACAAAAATCGACAAACGAGTGGACAGAACTCCCCCAGGAAAACGAACTAACAAGCATGACGTCACACGAGCCGCGCCGCATGTCTGCGCAGCTCCCCCCTCCCCAGGAGGGGGAAGGGGGAGCCCCAGACCCCCGTGCCGGCGATCCCCACCCCAGTTCTGAGGCTGGATATCAAAACCGCGAAAAAAACCCGCCGACTGGAGGGCGGGAGGGTGCCGGGGAGCCTCCGGGACTCACCCAGAAAATGGCGTTTCATTACATTCAACGCTGGTTTTCTGGGGGGAGCCCCTACGGCTCCCCGGAGCTACCTCACCAAAGACTACCTAAGAAAACAAGGGGACATACCCGGGAGGCGGTCGGTGAATCACTCCTCAACACGAAGTCAAGACAACAACCCAAGGTATATCATTCGCCAGAAAAAAGGGAAAATGGCCGCAGACGAAGAAACCTATGATCAGAACCATAGGAGCCAAAAACACTGCGCCTGAGAAGAGCAAGAAGCTCTGCCACACGACCCCCAGAGGCGAATGCCAACACAAAAAGAAAACCGAGGCAAAGCAAACCTGACACCAAGGAGCCACAACCAAGGAGAAGAAAAACGGGAGAGCACCCTGTCCAAAGACCAGGACGACACAGGCAGTGCATAAGCAGGCCGGAGGCGTAACAACGCACGATACAACCTGCGAAACGACGCAGAAGGAATATCGATACCGAAGGCTAGCAGCAGAAACCAAGGCGCCAGACCCAGGAACGGCCCCAAGCGCCCCTACAACCTCCGCAAGCCAATCCTATGACAGCCCCAGGAGGGAAAAGAAAACGCAGGGCCAAAACGAAAATGCCACAAGTGTGCAAATCCACCTCCACAAGTGCAGCTGACAGGGAAGGAACTCGCATAAGGAGCCGCCCCTCACCAACATCCCACAGAAGGGCAGGAGCGAAAAGACTCATTAAGAGGAGCAAAATCGCTCCCAGGAAAACTAGTAGCGCTGCGACAGTGCGAAGAGAAGAGATATTCACAAAAGAACAAAAAGGCCAACACCCAGAAGCTGCCGGGAAGAGGACCCACAAGCCCTAGAAAGGCCCGGAGGGAAGCCCAATCGAATGACGACAGATGCACCAGAAAACGGGCACAATGGACAAGAAACAGAGCCCTGGGAGGGGCCGACGCCCACAAAGCACGTGCAGAGAGGGGGAACGGAAAACCCCACACCACAAAACTGCAAGTCCCTCCCAGAGGGGTAGAAACACCCCGGCGGGGACCAACGGGGCCTGAGGCCCCCTCACGTGAGCCCCACCCCAGCCCCGGGAACCCACCCTGCAGGCCCCGGGGCCGAGTTGTCCCCTCAAAGCCCCAGCGTCAAGAAAAACCCCGGGGCAGCCGTGAAAAACACGAAGGAAGGGAGCCCACTAGGCTCTGGAACTTGAACCGAAACCGGAGGATAGGCGAGGGGCGAGACGAAGACCCCAAGCTCATCCCCAGCCAGCACAATGAGGCAAGGACAAGACAGAGAATCCAAGGAACATGGAAAAACCAGGCCCGGCACAGCAAGACCAGCAAAGAAGGAGAGCCCCAGAGGGAGCACGGAAGGGCCGAACATAACGCCACAACCAACCCAGACACGCAGCTGCAGTACCAAAACCGCAGCAAAACGTCACCACACTCCCAGAGGAAGCGACAGAGAAGATAGATAAATCGTACACGAGTGGCACACAAGGGGACACAGGCGGAAACCGAGCACCCAACTGAGCCACAGGGACGGGAGAAGAAACGTGTGCAGTGTAACAGGCAATCAAAGGAACACCGTAGGCAGCCCAACATAGGCTGACCCCTTACACAGCCCCAAGAGCAGAGATGAGAGTGCCCAAGAAGCACAGAATCCGCCCGACAGGCAAACGACAGGGGAGAGGCGGAAACAAAGCCAAAATCCAACCTGCAAGCACAAGGAGGCGAACACAAAACCTCCGACACAGGAAAACGTACTACCAAACAGGCACCCCCACCGTTGCACTGAGGAACAAGGTGGAGGCGGGGCCCCAAACTCAAGCAAGGTTAGACAAGCATTGGAGAGGGGCAGGAGGAGTACAGGCAGGAATCGCCTTGGAAGGGACAAGAGGCCACCCGCAGACACCCGTGAACCGAGGAAGGAATCAGGTGGAGAGAGCAAGAGCTGCCCAGTATGGGCTAATAGCCCTGCAGTAGGCACCTCGGGTGATACGGTTCACGTTCTCAAGGACGTATGTACACCCAACCCTACTCCTAAAAACAAAAACAGCGTCAGGACGAAGGAGACGCCAAAACCGCTCCAACTCACCTGCAGAACATAGGCTCTGAAGGGCCATGACGCAAGCGTTCGAGTCCGTATCCGCCGGAGGCGGCCAGTGCGCCCATGCTGGAGAGGAGGGGAGCAGCGAATGAGGCTCCCCACCCGAGAACGCAGGGAAAAACCACATGATGTCCCCCACAGCGGCACTCCAGAACACCCCCAAAGCAACGGGGCACGGATTGGATTAAGAAAAGAGCGAGAGGCAAAGCCCCCCCGAGAGAAATGGAAGCAGAACACGTGTGCACACTGCCCGGAACTAAAACTTCCACGGCGCATGCGCAGGACGCGAAAGAAAGTAGCCCAACAAGGTGAGAAGTAGCCCAACCAGGTGAGAAGTAGCCCAACCAGGCGAGAAGTAGCCCAACCAGACGAGAAGTAGCCCAACAAGGCGAGAAGTAGCCCAATAAAGCGAGAAGTAGCCCAACAAGGCGAGAAGTAGCCCAACAAGGCGAGAAGTAGCCCAACAAGGCGAGAAGTAGCCCAACAAGGCGAGAAGTAGCCCAACCGGCTACAAGGAGCCCAAACGGCTACACGGAGCCCAACCTGTCCAGAACAAAAGGAACCAGTATGGAGGCAAACTCCGGGACATGCAGGAGGTAAGCCACAAAGGACAACCGCACCGCAGGTGAAGGGATGCGGTTAGTCGAAAACCTCCTGAAGACGGAACCGAAGAAACCACAGGGACATGGAACCGAACCTGGGGAGGAGCATAACCCAAGCCCAAATCGTACGCAGAGGGGGGAAAGAAAACCCCACTCCTCGTAACAGTAAGCCCCGCTCAGAAGGACTGAAATCCAGGCGGGACGCAATGGAGCCCAAGGCCCCCAAGGCCGCTCCTCCCCAACCCCAGGAGCCACTGCACCAGGCCCCGGGGCCGAGTCGACCTCCAAAGCCCCGGCCCCACAAGAAAAAGCCGGGGCAGCCGAGAGAGCTGAAAGAGAAGGGGCCCACTGGTCAGACCCTGGAGCATCGGCCGGAGGAACAGACTCGAATGCCTCCGCAGCTACCCCGGACGGGGCAACCCCCGAAACTGCCCAAGTCTCAGAACCTCTAACCCCGCCCCGACCCCGAAGCCTGCAGATGCGTAGGGGCCAGAAGCAGGAGGGGGGAAAACAAGGGGGGCGTGGAAGAACCAAGGCCGAAGCGACCAAAACCCCCAAGTCTGGTTCCCTACACAAGCGGGGCAGCATTGGGGCGTCCGGGGAAGCGACAAACCAGAGCGCGTTGCAACATCCTACCCTGCAACGCGCGAGCTGCCTGCACTCACGGGAATTCATCAGCAGACTGGGTGAATGGAATCACGAACAAGCAACAAAGCTCGCAGGACTCAAGGGTCGAATGTGTCACCGACCCAACAGCAGGCAAAAACAAGGAGAGTCACCCTGAGACAAGGGGACAGAGC